TAGCCGACAAGTATAAGGATACTATGTTCGTACACTCAACATGCCCTTTACATGATGGAGAAAGGATTTATTAGAGCATTGATAATGGAACAAAGCATATAGAAAGATAAGAATAAGAATCTAAGAAATACATTAGAAAGAATAAGAGAGCATGATTATAAGTATTACATTAACATAACATATATATAGCGAATGAGCATAATTATAAACTAAAACGAAAGCACGGGAGAATGAATGCACTCACACAAGAGTGCGCTGTCATAGCATAGTTTCAGAATACTAAGAAAAACCTCCCAAACGTTTGAATTGTTTACAAATGTCTCTTAACCCCTTTCCCTCTTTAACAACAAATTTTACAGTCGAAGAGCAAGCTCTGATTCGAAATTAAAAAGCTTCGGAATCTACACGATTTGTCAAATATTAGTTCAAAGGAAAGCTACTTGGATGTGTAGGTAAAAATAAAAAATCTTTTTTTTGTTAATTTCTTTGAAATGAATAATTGACCGACCTTCACCAAGTTATCCATGAGAGTCAAAAATGTTAACAACATACCGATCGGGGCACACTTGTACGATATGTGAGCAAGCGAATGTTGTGGAGACATTTGAATTACGACGTGGAAATATCGAAAAACTCATCTCCTTGCCGATCGTGAGAGCAGATTGTGTTATTTCTAAACACTGTTTTTCAGTGCTATGGTTGTAATCGCAAATGTCATAAGAGGCCATTCGTGAGAGTTCTATAACAGCCCGAATGTCCTGGATGTCAAGGACAGCAGCACAGCTCTCATTGTTTTTGTTTGTACCACTTTAAGATAAATAGTAGTCTGACCTTTATCAAATTATCCATGCCAAAGCTTCATGGATAACTTGATAAAGGTCAGACTACTATTTATCTTAAAGTGGTACGGCGGAAGAACCCATTTATCCCACCTTCTTAAATACCAAGAATTTGAGTAAAAATTTGCACTATGGCATAACAAACCTATCGGGACACACTGGGATGATGTGTGAGCAGGGGATAACCCTAGACTTATTCGCGTCTGGCTCTGAGAATAGCTAACCATCGATCTCCTTGCCGACCGATGGTTTGATCTTCCCAGAGCCAGACAATCCCTAAGAGGCACCTTAGAGTTCCTCCAAGAATGCGGCTATGCACTGAAATGGTCATGTTCAATTACATATTGTGGAGAATGAATAAAGAATAAGAAAGCCAATTTTTGCAGGTAGAAAAACTGTGAAAAAAGCTGACGTACTCAAACAAAGGAACACGGTGCTTACCCGCTTTGAACAGAACACCAATGCTTATCATTCTTATCAGGAAATATCTACTTCGCTAATCGATATCTGTTCCTAATGGAGCATTTCTAAGACGTTTCATTAGATTTACTATCCCAGTGGTATTACAGAGCAGTTTCCTTACAAGTTCTTGAGATTTAATCAAAATTCATTTTCTAATCAAAGAATATGCACTATTTCCAGATTTACAATGATATTCTAATATGAAACAAAGGATTTCATCAAGTTTAAGCCCAGCTGGCAGAACGAACGATGGAGTTCTTCTCAGACATTTTTTAGGCAAACTGAAATAAAGAAAACAAGTAAAACATAGGTGGTTTATCAGTTCATTGATTTGAATCAACAATCCACAATAGATCACATGTTGTCGACCAGCAAACTGATTCTGCTATGAACTCTGGTTTTAATGTGATTTCTAAGAGAACTTCAGCGTTTTTCATAGATTTCTCCCTCTCAAAACATTGAATAAACATGATATTTGAGTTTAAAATGAAATTTCGATCTGAAACAACCCAAAAAACAACCGATTTCATCAACTTTGAGCTAAGTTACAGCATATTCCCAAAAGAGAACGACCGGGTCATTTTTTTTTTCACGTAAAAATTATTTTCACGTGGCGCGTTCCGCGGAGGTATATAAGCCGTGGAGCAGCCGAATCACGTCAGTTGGCGGTGTGAGCCGGTGAGCTCCACTTCTCTCTCTCTTACAACGGTTGCATTCCAACACAAACCGCACAGAACGGTTGCATTTCAGTTCAAACCGCTCAGAACGGTTGCATTCTACCCCAATAGTCCAGAACG